ATCGCAGTCTCTTCTTCTTTACTCTTTGATCAAAGTCTTTCCAAAGTCTAGCAAGGTTGATCAATCTTTCAACCTAACAAAGTGACTCTTGTCCCATCAATTTTAATCCACATTTGGGTTTACTTTCAGCTTTTCAGTTCAACATTTTTCCATCTTTTTTCACATCTTTAACCTTTCAGATCCAATGTTAATTTGCGTTTTAGCATCACTTTGAAACCTTTAATAATTAAATTCAACTTACATTTTTATTTGAAAAGGAAACAAAAAAATTATAAAGTTTATAAGCGGGAAAATACATTTTTCAAAATTTACGTTTGTTCGAAAATATTATCATCTTTATTCATCTTCATTGCTATCATTATCATCTTGTTAATATTCTGGTTGAATATCATTAGTTTCACATGACAATATTTACATTGATTAAAATTGAAAATGAATCTTTCAAACTTTTACCTTTTTTTCACTATTCACAATGTTACAGGTTTGCTTGACTTGTTTTCCGTTCAAATCAAATATTCACTCATTAAATTCAAGTTTAACTACTTTACAATCACAGAGTAATGATAATCATTGTTAATTATCTAATAGTCGTCCATTAATCATCCAATAATCATTTGATGATTATTCAAATTGAATTGATCAAAACATCTTTCGCCTATTCAAAGTCTTTGTAAATATATCATTAATTCAGTAATATTAATCAAAAAGTCACCAAGTCTCCTGACTGAGTTTATTGTCATGAATGAGAAACTTTTAGTTCCAATAAATTGATTGGCAAAGAAACGACAATCTAATGATCGAGAAATGCAAAAAATTGTAAAAATTAAACTCATATTGACAGTTAATAATGATGTAAAAACAAGAAAATGAAAGTTGATTTTTTCGAGGAAGATTTCAAAGTTAAATTGTTACATGTTTTGAATCAATTTGTGTTTACCTTGGAATGTCAAATGAAGTTAGAAAAGATCGATTTAACTGGCGAAATGATTTGAAATTATTATGATTGTTGTTAACCAAATGATTTGAGAAACATTTTAAGGTTTGATTGAAAAATATAAAAAAAAAGATAAGATGAAAATCATGTTATCATCCATTTCAATTGCATTTATACAAATGATTACTCTTTTTCATGTATAATTGATATCTTTTTACTTCATCTTTGTTCATCTTCAACTTGTTCAATTCCCTGACAAGCATAGTTACCCTTTTTTTTACCATGTTAATGGTATTAAATCAGATTCAATGAACTTTCCCACTTCTTTTTCTCTCTCCTTACCGGCCTTGATGAGCCCATTTCAAGGGCAACCCAGTGGCTTCTCAGTGTTACTTGGTGTGGTGCACTTGGTAATCATGAGAGTTGCTAAATCATCATGGAAAATGATCACAATTTTGGTTAACATTTTTTGCACAATTAATAATTAACTTGCTTCCTGATTAATTGCTTGCATTGCTTGGCTGGCCTCAGTCTATGAAGTTGTAACCTCAAAAGTTGCCCCATTTTCAGGTTTCTTGGTTAAACTCTCATTGGACTTGTCACTCTTTTTTACGGTCAATCTTGCCGTCAATTGAGACGTTTAATTTTTTGACCCGACTTCTGTCATAATTTGATCAATCAAGCAAAACCTTTTGTCTTTTTTTTCTTGAGACAATGAGATGGAATTAATGGTGATTTAAGTTATCCAGAAAAAAAGTTATTGCCAGTTCTCTTGACGTAGATGCACTGATGTAACTTGAACGGGGAATCAAGTGTAACAGGTAAACAAGGCAAAAAATACAAATTATTGGTATTCAGTTAAGGTCAATGATGATTGTCACAATAATGTCAAAAAGTTAAGCGCTAAATATTTTTCAGTTGACATTAAAGTTGTACAGTCAATCAAAGGAAAGTTAATCCAATGAATAAACAGTTTTCTGTAGGATTGGTTAAAGGTTTAAATGAGTTGAAGGGGAAATTGGTTTGTATTACATTTCAAGGCAACTTTGATTGTCGACTGATCATTATTAGTTAATCATCTTAATCATTTAAAGATGATTTCAGTTGATTTCTAACGATTGTTTTGATTGTTGCTTTTGAAAGTGAAAACAGAGTAAAACAAAGAAAGGCAATTAAGATGGTTGTACAACAGGCTAATCAAGTTGACTGTGTGTGTGTCTTTCAAAGTGTAAATTAAGTGAAACGTTTGATGATTACAGAGAAGGAAAAACAATGAAGGAAGACAATGAGGACAAAGACGATATTTTAAGGTAAATCGTAATTTAAAAACAGCATTAACGCATTTTGTTTCAAACTTGATTCACACTTAATGGTTTTTGATCAGGTTAACCATTATCAGATAATCAAAGAATCATGATTTCTTCTCTTTTTTTGCCAGGGTTGCCATGTTAGACTAAATTGACTTGATAATCAAGACAATTTGATACAAATACGGATAGTTATTATCACAATTAACTCGATTAACGTGATTAATATAGCCATGAAAATTGAGTTGTAAACATTTTTTAAAAAGTCAACGCTATTTAATGATTGAACATCAATTGACCATTGTGAATATTTAGCCATTGGATTGGAGTTATCAACAATAATGTAACTTGTTTTTATGTTGTTAATAATTTAATGAATTGTTGATGTCGCCGTATCAAATGTGATTTAGTTTGTGCTAAGGCTTGTGAATTTGCATGCACCATGTAATTGACACTCGACAAGTGGTCATTTTCATTGAGACAACGCATAAGTTAATTTAATTTTCAAAGTTCTCAGACTTCTGTTATCATTAACTATGATTTGTTACTTTTGGTAATGATTTAAGGATGATGGCTTCTTCTTTAGTAGTTTAGCTGGTAACAATTTACATTTGTTTTTCCTCAGTCTGCAACTTTGGTCATTTGATCTTCAATGATTAAAGTTCACTTTCTACTTTCTTTTTCAATCCAGTTTCCATTTATCATTCAGCTCAGCTTGATGTTTAAACATTGGTTAAAAATTAGAAGAAAAAAACTTTAAATTGATTGTAACCGTGATTCCTTAAATATTCCAGTTTAACCAAAAAGAAAAGCTTTCTTGAAAAATTTCAATGCTAACGGAAATGTTCTGACATAACGAGGACCATAACCAAAGGGATAACTTGGAGGATAAATTGGAATACAATTTGCTCCAATTTCATGAGCTAATCCATGGACACTTTCAGATGGTGTAGTTGAAGCGGAGGCTGGTACAGTTTCCTTGTTTAACGATGATCCATGAGGAACAAGAGCGTGTCCAATCGCCGATTTGCCCAACGGAGGAGGATAAACGACTTTACAGCATGAATAGGCGATCGGTCCAAGTTTAGGATAACGTCGGGTCGAGTGATGGTGAAGCAAAAGATGATGATGATGCAGAGGAGGAACAACTGGATGGTTAATAGGATGATAGGCAAATCGATATGGATGAGCGTGATGGTGATAATGGTTGTGGTTAAGATGATGAGGTATTACATGGTGGAGATCTCGATGAGGAAGATGAGGAAGATGTGGGAGATTAGGAAGATATTGATGATGTGGTGCTGTCATGATGAGTTGCTCGTCAAAAATGGGATAATTTGAAAGGTAAGGCTTTTTATCCAGTGGTGAGGAAGATGACGCTCCATTGTTTAATTCCGATTTGGTGGTTTCTTTTGTTTCCTTAGTTCTTACTTTGGCCTCTGTTGAGCCAACCTTCGAAGGTTCAGCGTTTAAAATGTTTTTAGTGTAATACCAGCGACCAGGGTCAGGCATTCCAAATAAAGGTTCTTTCACTGATTTATCTGGAAATTCTTTCAAGTCAACACTAACATTGTTGCCAATTTTGCTATTATCAAGATTATTGTTAGAATAATTATCACCATCATTATCACTATTATTTGCATTTTGTTGGTTAATCATTGGTTGACTAGTTGGTAACAATGATTTTGAGTTCGACACAGGAAAGCCAAGATCTCTGTTAACCATTCTATCCATGTTACCTTGGCGATTGCGATTTAGGAACCAATTATTGTCATAATAAACTGATCCTGGAGATTGATTTTTTTGCTCAAATTTTCCAGTTGCATCGTCTTCTTTGATACTGTCATCTTCATTTACTTCAAGCGAGCTCTTCTCTGATTTGATCTATTTAAGGTAAAGAAAAATAAATCAACATTAGACATTTAAATGTTTCATTCACCTTTTGTCTTTGGTTTGTTCATAATTACCTGTTTATTGATTGGAGAATGAATTTCAAAAGATTGAGTTGGCTTTTTAAATCGATTGAAAATATCCTCTACAAATGCTGAATCATTTGCTTTTCCAGATGAAGATAACAACCGATAGTTCCATAAACCATTTTCATCGCCATCAACAGTTTTATTAGTGTTACCATTGTTGCCATTGTTTTTACCCGATTCAATTGAATCTGAACTCAATGAGATTAAATCTTTGATGAAAGGATAAATTGGCTGTTTAACTGTTGTACTTTGTTGACGTAAAACAGAGAAGCGTTTAGGTTTATTGTTGACTTCAATTAAATCACTGGAAACATTAAACCCATTTGTTGAAGTTTCCAGGGTAGTTAAATTACGAGGTGATAACAATGGTGTTAATAATCCATCATGGTAAGCCGATGATTTACCAGTGGCTAATATCATTTGAAAATGGGCATTAGAAGCACAAAATATCACAATAATCAAACAGTAACCAATGATGATATCAATCAATTGAAAGTATAATAAACATGTTGAATGTAATTTAAGCATCTCATCAATAGTGGTGCAGTTGGGTTTTAATCTTGAACAAGATTGAAACACTAATCAATGGAAGCCAAATTGTAAACTGAAATGAAAAGTAAAAGAGAGAGAGAAAGAAAAAATTGATTAAAACAAAAATAGCTACATTAATTTAGATGTTAATTACTAATTAGAACTGTTGTCTGATTGATTTTCTGAAATTGCTCAAAAAAATATCAACTCATTCCAACTCTTAATCTCAATTTGGTGAATATTTTTCATTTTGATTGTGACTTTTCTCTCTCTCTCTCTCATGGGTCCAGTTCTGTATGAGCAAATTCAAATAATTTGACAACTTTTTGGACTGATTATGGTAAACAATTAAAATCTACTCACCTTTATCCTTACAATCTCACTTTTCAATTTCATGTCTTCATAATCAGTTGAGTGAGAAATGTAATAAGAAAAGATTTTCTTTTACTTTTCCATTTGAAGATTCAAAAATAATGGGAAAAATATTTTTCCCATTTTTTGTCTTTTCATTGAAAAATTTCTTTGTGCTTCCAAAATATCTTCTCGTTATTCAATATTATTCAGCATTATTATTGCCATAATCATTAAAAAATGATATCATAAGTATATCTGATTATTAAGCAGCCATTCTGTAAAAGAAAGAAGATAACAATGAGTTAATAATGAATTAAGATTCAAAAGGTTTCACTAGTTAAGAGTTACACTGAACACAACAAAAAAAATCATAAAATCACCTTTTGTTGAATTAAATGGATTAAATTAAATTTGAATGTTTCAATGTTGACAAAACAAGGAGTTAACGAGAGTTATTAACGGTTATTGAAGGAAATCAAAAATGCTGTCAATAGATTGGATTGTGTTTAGTATTTCAAAAACAATTAATTTGTCATTAAGTTTCATTCACTCTTGCCCATGCAAATAATTAGATACTAAAAGGGTCACGTGGGTTCATTGATTAACTCGTTTTCATGATTTGCTGATAATCAATTAAGATGGAATTGAGAAAGTTAAAGTGAGAATGTTATTTAGATTCAAAAAAAGCAATGAAATGTTGATGCTTGTCGAATCTTTGCCACCATCATTTCATTTTTTGCAGCTTTATCGTCAATTCATATTGAAAAAATAGAAGCTTTGAGTTCTGTTTGGATCCTCCAAAAATCAGAATTAAATCATCATGTGAATAAAAGGTATCTGCTGGGTAATTAAAAGTGTTCCAGATGCATTTGCCATGAAAAAATCATGGACTGCCTTATATCGTCACAAATATAAAGTATCCAAACAACTTTGTGAAATCCTAGTTCGTCTCTTTGATTCGTAATGGATTCCAAAATCATACTTCACATTCGAAGATAAGTTTAGTCCCATTGAACTTGAATTCGTGTTTACATCTGCAGATGTTATAAAGATTGATAGTTTATCACCTGATGAATATCAATGCTTTAACAATGATCTCAATTAGTCTAATCGTATAACTCCTATTGTATTGACTTTGTCTTTGAACAGTTTCGATTTTTTCATTTATGATTTTTCAAAGATTGCCGATTCTGATGGGTTTACTAACAAATACTGAAAATTTGATGAGAAAATTAGCTTCAGTTTAACTTTCATCATTTAAACGTGCTATTCAAACTTTTGTTAGGCACTGGATTCTTTAGCTAATACACCTTATTAGTTACTTTCTTTGCCTTTCTTTTACTCTCCCTCTCTTCAATCATCCGATATTGATAATTTGTGAATGTTGAGCCCAGCCATCAAGTCGGTCTTGAATATCTGCTTTGCATCCATGCAATGGTGTTTTTTTTATACATTCACTTGTCTCCAGTTTCATGGATCTTAAAATGTTTCAAATTTTAAATTCATCACAGGCAACAATCAATGTGTACCTTAAGGCATCTTCTTGTATGAAAAGAAACCACGTAACATCTTAAATCTTTCGTTTTATTCATCATCATCTTCTTTTCCAATTTGTCTTTCTTTTCTTTAAAGTTGCTCCTTAAAAAATTGTTACTACTTGTTGCCATCTACTTGATACAGTATCTCAATGTAGCTGTATCTCATGTTGGCTCCTTCATCTTTCTTTTCTTTCTTTTCTTTTTCATCATCGGGTTTCTTTAATTAGCTACCGCTTTCCACTGGCCTCATCAATATAACAAAAAAGGTTACCTGAGGTTATTAGAGATAAAAGAGAAAGAAAATGATAAATAACTTGACCAAGTCAAACTATGGGGCAAAAGGTGATTCAGCATCATTTGAGATTTAAAGTAACAAAAATGTTGACTTGGTAATGTAGAGATATAAGCTGTAAAAAAGAGATCTAATATTGAGTAAATCCAAAATTACCTCTAATCCAGGTCATTAGCCGAAAGATTTAAGACGTTCAATAATGATAAGAGAATAGTAAGAAGATGATGAAGTAAAAAAAAATGTTGAATAGTTTTCACATCAGTTAAGGTCCAAGCATTGTGCATTTTTGATGCTGTAATTTATCGCCACATATTGTTGTCGGGTGCTGATATGAGCATCTCCACTTGCTTTGCTTGATTGCCAATAAGTCTTTGTCGTCATTATTCTAATCTTCATCTTGTTGCCTTTCCTGAAATTGTCACATCCAATCAAAAAAAAATATATTTACATGTTATCAGGGTGAACATGTGAATGACATTTCCGTTTATTTTAATCGTCAACACCTTTCCAAGATTTAAAGATACAATAATGAAGAACCATTAGAGTGTAACCAGGTAAGTCTGCCACCTTAGATGCTCTGTAATAACTTGTTGCACTTTGGTCTTCTTTTTTGCCTCATTTTCGTCTGCTTTTTCTTTCTTTCTTTGATTAAGCTTGAATTATTTTTGAAATCCATGTAAACAGAGGTGAGAAATGAAATTACGCAATGAAACTTGTCTAAATCATGATTGCTATATCAACAAAAGAATACAATTGAAGAGAAACTATGTTAACAAATCATCAATACATTTGAAAAATATTACTTAATGATTAAAAGAGTAAAAAAAGGGAAAGTTTACCTGAAATTTTTTCTCCAAATAAACAGGCAATTCAATGGAAAGTTGAATTCATATCAAGGTAACGTAATACATGCAATGGTTGTTTTGAAAATCTCATGAAATCCATGACAAGATCAGTGTTTTCCAAATTTTCAAGAAATCGTTCTCATTCAACTTGAATCAATTGATAGGGTTTCAATCAACAGGACCAATATTTTATCAACAGTTGCATGTAATATGAGTGCTTCATGAATAGCCAATTGACATTAAAAGAACCATCAAAATTGCTTGAGTATGTTTACTAGATGATCAGCTCGAGCCAACAGTTAATCTAAAGCGAATGAAGAGTTTATTAATCTGATTGAATTGATTAGAAAAGGAAGAAAAAGTTTGAAACTTTTTCTATTTTTGTCAGAAAGTTTTTTCTCTTTCTTTTCCCTCCCTGATATCATCATATAAAATGAATAAAGGAATGTGAAAGATCAGTCAACCTAAATAAGAAGAGAAAGAAATACTTATGAATGTTTCTCAATTCTTTTGCTTTCATTTACACCTTACCTTTCATGCTCATCCTACTTTTGTCTTTAAAATTTTCCTCACTTTTCTGCACATTTCTCATCTAAAGAGAACGAATAAATTTGTAAAATAAGTTTGAATGTTTTTCCAACATTATGAATGACTTGGTGTATGAAAGTAGCAAACAATTGATGCATAGCCCTAGTGATAGTCCTTTTTGTGCTTCTCTTCAGACATGATTTTTTTTGCTCTTGCACTTTTTTTACTCCTTAAGGCTATCTCCGACCATATAGTGAGAAGAAAGGAGAGACTTTTGACTACACCATTTAACCCAAGTAACATAAACACCTATGTATTAACTCGTTCTTGAATAACTACAGGATAAGAGGTGGAAAAATATTAGTTGGTCTACCATGTCAACCTTTTCTTTTGACAACTATCCTGCAACCATTTTGCACTCAAAACGCAATATTAGTTACACCATTAGATGATTCGCTTCTTGATGATGATCATGTTAATGATGGTGATAGAGATCCCACACACAGTTTCATCAGCAAAGCCAAGTGATATAAAAGTATTCTTTCCAGTATCCAATATATAATAGATTTTTTCAAATAATCCAAAATACTGTTTATTTTGCTTCAATAATGATTTCACTCTTCATCTTTTGGAAAAAAAACGATGAAAAAAGTCAACAGGTTCATTTATTTACATTGGAACTTCCATTCAGCTCAATCGTTTCACATTTGATCCCATTAGCTTCACAGTGTTTCAATATTCTTAATGGTTTTGATGACAATGCTCGTTAAAAAGACGCATCTTTGTTGTAACGACAGTAATCCATGATAACTTTTGAGTCTGAAAGTAAAGAAAAAATTGTTTAGTAAGGTTTCAATTTTTGCGGTTTTAGAGATAAAATTTTTACCTAAGATGCTCCACTCAAGAATTCTGTGTTTGTTTAATGAGCAAAGTTTTTCATTTGCATTTAATTTAACATCCGGGAAGTGTAGATGCACACTTATGTCCGGAACTGTTGATAATATGTTTGCACATGCATAACTCCGAGATTCAGGTTCAAATTTTGAGACTTGCAACTTGCTTGATAAACAGACTTGCTGTTAGACTTCATTTAATTGATAAATCTGGCTCTTAATAATGAGCCGTGATTAACAATAGAAGCAAATAAATGGTCAAGATGAAGTGATAATAACAACTTGTAATTGACCTTTCTCTAATTTAATCCTTTAATTCTATTGACAGACCAAACTCATTGAGTGCAAACCATTTTGTTACGCACAACAGGTATTCGTTATGGTTAACCGTCACACTTAATCATGCATACCTTGCTCAATAGATGAATCGTTGCACAATTTTCCTTTCTCTAGTAAATTAAAGATTCAAAACAAATATCTTGATGATTTATGAAACTTGCTTCACCAAGTTAAATTTTTAAGTCTTGAGAAATAGTAATCAGTCCAATGAACAAATGATGATTAACGAAGCCAGACACAGAAAAAAGAGACAGATTTTTGAAGAAAAAAGTTGAAACATCAGGTCAGATAAATGAAACTGGCCAGACAGGGAAAAACAGACAAATTGAATCATTAGTCTGATGGCTTAGATTATCCAGAAGAGTCACAGTCAGAAGAGTATTTTAAAACATGTGGCATTGTTGGGTTATCAAACTGCACTTACACTTGTAAAATATAAATAATTTTAAGCAAAAGCCGTTAATTCAAATCCTTACAAAACTGGTAAACGAATTTGTTAAACTTTGATTTTACTAAATACACAGTAATTAGATGTTTGGATCGTCTGACAACAGTTAGTGAAATGCAATATTTATTTAAAATAACGTTTAAAACAAAGCTAATATCATGAACTCTGATGAATAAACTAACAAGCTTAAAACTAATGGCGCTCAAATCACTCTGTTGTTGAGGGAGAAAGCAAAATGGATGTCAATTATGAAATTATTGTTTATGTTTGCTATTTTTTTCAACGGATTGCTCATTATTTTATTTGTTTTTTTTTGTAAATTAATTTTTTTAGGTTGTTGCTGTTCATTGTAAATATGTAAAACCAAGAAGTGCCGATGTAAACGTAAATGTATTATCCGATGTAGCCCGAACAAAGTTTGGTTTAACTGAGGATCTCATTAAAAGTGGTCAACCTCTGGAACAAGTGGTTGAAGAGGTAAGCAAACTATTTTTTCAAAATTGATAAAAACTTCAAGGATACATAAAACTGGTGTTAATAGATATTAATAGAACCAAAGAAAATTCATCGTTAATGGTCATCATCACATGTTAATCACTTTGAGAAAACGAATGTATTTTCGCAAAATGATCACCAAGTCTGACTATTTTTGGTCTTTGGATCTCTATTTACTAGTATTTTCACTTCTTGTACCTATCATTTACTGTTTATCTACTAATATTTGGTTACAATGTGTCCTTCAATATTATATTAACCTTTCATAGTTTATCTAATTAAATTAATTTGTCTTCTCTTTTCTAGTTTGACCAATATGCAAAAAGTAAATTACAATGTGATGGGGGTCGATCATTCAGATTAATTACCGATGGACAACTTCATTTACGCCAAGTTATCCATCCAGAAGCATGTAAAAAAGGGATCACACTTCCAGACTATTTCCATTCATTTCATGATTTAAAGAAGGAGTTTCGGAAATTTTATCGCAATAATGATTTTCAAACCATCGATGAGATGTTAAATTGTAATTTATCATTCTTTTTTCAATGTATTACATCCCATCCTTGCTTACCGAACCTACCTGAGACCTCAGTTTATTTTATCTTTAAACAGCTTCAACCCATTACTTGTATTCAATTCAATTCAAATTCCTCCCTTAATATTGCAGGCTTTACAAAGTATCAAAGATGTTGCAAAGATCTAGAGAAATTGATATCTTTCTCTTGATCGATAATTTTCACATCATCTCAGCTAGTTTCTTTCGCTTCTCAATTGCTCAGAGAATCGTTTAGCAAATGAGTTTAAATTTATCATTTCAAAATTTTTACTTTTAACTTTCGCTTACCGCTCAACTCTCAACAAATGAATTTCTCATCCTTTTACGTCCAGGCATTTTTGTTCCCTGGCCATACTTTCAATCAATTCATTCATTATTTTCTGTTAATTCATTTTTTCAACTGAAAACGACATTCATAAGAATGAAAAGTATTATTACTATTGGAAAAATTTATTCATCTTCATCATCAGTCCTAATGATAGTGAATTTGTTATTTGCTGCCGATAATAATATTGTGAGCTGTTACCTGGTCTCTAGCAGAAGCTAAAGAGAGAGAAAAAAATATTAATAAATTACGTCAGTTTTGGTTAGTTTTATGTTAATGTTGATAATTTGTAACTTGATTGTTGGCTTTCAATCTTCTCATGATAATCATATTTTAATCATCTTTCATTCTGCCTTCAGGCTTATCATGTTGCAAAAAAGCAAAATTCAAGACCATTGGCTTTTATTAGTTGATATGCATAATAATAAATCTACAAATAAATAGTTAAACATCACTAATTGAATAATAACAATTTGCATTGCTGATATATTATGACTTTGACTGAGCTAGATTGAAAAACAGTCTTTTAATAGCAACCCTAGCGCAGTAATGATTGATATCAATCTTATAAAGTTTACCACTGAGATTGAGAAAAATTAAACAACAATTTACCAAATTAATGTAGGCAACTGTTATTTCATATCTGGTGAATGATTAGTGAAACTAGCAGCTTATTAATTTCGCGTAAATACATTATTAAAATTACTAGCCATTAGTTGCCACAGAACAGACCTTCAACCGTAAAAACAGAGACAAATTTTCAAGCCGAAAAATGGCGTTAATTTTTTGTCAATATAAAGCGAAAATTGACTTAAATCATAGCAATTATCCTTTACACTTGAGTAGACAAACAGACATTTCCAAGATTTAATTTCTGTCCTTTTCTTTCCCTTTGATTCCGAAAATGTCGCCTTTTTTATTAATTTATCGTTTGGTTGCTTTACAGATTTATCAATAGAGCCTGATGGATCAGCTGACTGTGCAATTAGGAAGATTCAAAACCTGGCGAAGATAATTATCCGTTTAGCCACCGATGGTCATACTTTTAATGAACCTGAGTTGATAGCAGAACGATTGGAACCAGGAATTTGCAGTAAAAATGAATTAGTTGATGGTAATACTGTAGTCAGAGCTCGAGGTCTTCCATGGCAATCATCAGATCAGGATGTGGCCAAATTTTTCAAAGGACTCAATATTGGAAAGTGAGTTTAACCTTTTTCCATCAGTCTAATTTTGTTGCATTCAATATCTTTGGGTAGTTTCATTGTTACGATCAACTTCGCCATTTAACCATCTTTTCATTTTATTCTCGATTTTAAATTCAACTGCATCAATTTATAGCATCAATAGCAAGTTTCTCATCTCATATTCACAAGCTATAAATCACTATTTATTCATAACTAATCGATTGTGTTTAGGTGTAATTGTTGGCGGCTTTTTTTGATCATTTTGATCTACAAATATCACTTTTTTGTTACCAACCAGACTGTTTCATGATCCCACCAACCTGTGGAAAATGAGCCCTGTATCAATTTAACTGTACAGATTAGCCATAGTTGCCGAGTAAATTAACAATTAGTGAAGTGTTCATTATTCGTGATGGTTTGTGTATAGTTAAATTGCCATATTTGACTCCTATTTCCACCAACTCAATTGACCGTGAAAATACTTTACTGTTGGCTTGAAAACACCAATGATGACATTTAACCTTAAAACGGTAATGAATATATTGTGTTAAACCATATTTAACACCATTTGTTTTCGTAATAAATGGTAAATATAAAGCAGAAATTAAGGGAAATGAATAAATTACTTGTAGACAGATGAGATTTGAGACAACAAACAAAACTGAAAAAGTCCAACAAGCTTTCACTTTGAATAAGTAATCTTTCCTTGTTAACTAGCACAATTTGAAACATGAACAAGGTTAATTTGAATACTGTGACTTTCAAACAATAATTAATAGTAAAAAATATGATATAAAAAAGGCAAATTGTCTAATATTACCAGTCATTATCATTTGCTACAGGAAACAATACTAACCATATGATTGCTAGTTAGTTTATTATTGCGTTAATAGGTGACGCAGCTTGTAACTTTAATTTAAACATTTAGGAATGAAAAATGCAAATGAAATTAGGCAAAGTTAACCATTTAAATCACATTAAATTGAATCAGCAAACAGAACAATAAAATATTACAAAAGCTAGTCTATCAGGAAAAACCAACAAATAACATGAAAAATGAAAGGGGAAAATGAGTGAATGAATAAAGGAAAACAAAAAGCCGATGAAATGCTAATCATAAGTAAATGATGGTCAATAAATGAGGTACAATACACAATCAACACTGGGAAAGATTTGATTATAATAATGTAAAGCATTAAAATACTCAACATTCCAATGAGTTGTTTACATTTGTGATTTAACCTAAAATATTTGAAATGATGAAAAAGGGAAGCAAGAAAAAAAAGAAGCTAAAAAAGCCAAAAGGTTAATATGATGATGATGATGATGATGATGAAGTATAAAGTAATAGAAATGCAAAATGATCATTTCTTTTCTTCTTCCCAGGTAAGGAGTTAATAAGAGAAATACTTTTGCCCAAATTGCAGGTAATAATAACTTTAACTGGGCTAAAAACCAGAATGATGAAAGATAAATCGTTGAAAGTAAAAATGGTTGCCTTCAAGATGAGTTTAGGTATTACCTTTTACAAAACTAAAATATGAATTAAAAATAATGGGAAAGTCAGGTCATCAAACCTTTTATCAGGTTTACCTTTATTAGCAAGTTTACTGGTGACAACAGCAATCAACAATCAAACCATTATCATTACTTGATGCTGGTTTGTCATAATTTAATTTGTTATTTTAATTAACTCAATCTCTAGACCATAATGTTAAACATCTGTTCACTTTTCAAAACACACAACAACAAACCAAAGCAAACCATTTCTAGCAAAAAAAAGTAAATGTTTGAATCAATAATGATTAATCGTTATTCAACTTATGATAATTTTAGGTGACAATTAAAAGCTAGTTTAATCAACAATTTAACCGTTTAATTGGTTGGGAAAAGTGAATGGAAACAAATGCAAATAATTTAGTCATTTGTTTGATCAGAAATGAAGAAACAAAGTCAAGTGAATTTGGGTTTTTTAATTTTGTTTGAATTGTAAATTGAAATGATCAAATGATGAACAAAAAAGGTTTAATTTCATCTTTTCAGCAATCACGAAGTTGAACAGTTTAACCGTTTTCAAGGAACATTGATAAAGGATCGCTGGACATCGTGATGACCACCCAATGATTATACATTAGTTGATCATGATTTTATCAATCAGATAATCATAATCATCATCATTATCCATGATGATAGTATTTGAGTCAACCTTTAAGGTTCCTTCAATCTTTCATAACAATAATCTTTTTACTGTAAGGATGGAGTTGAAACATGAAACAAACTCACAAAAAAAGAGACATTTTACACCCAAACAAGGTAAAGGTAAACATGAGCAACAATATCAAGAACAAGATGAAGACAAACAAAAGTACATTAAAGTCGTAGTTGACCGATTCCGTAGCAATTTTCCAGTTGAAAGAATGAAACTTTTTTACTTTGTTACTTTTAAAGGTAAAAAACTATCAAAATTATCAACATATTGACTGTGAAAGGAACCCAAAGAGCCACAAGAAGAGGAAAAATTTGACGCATGAACGATCAATCATGTTCATTCTGAGCTTTATCCTGATCATCAATTTCATCTTTTCCATTCTTCTCAATTTATCAATAAAAATCATTGATATTACCATTAAGTTGAAACTGCGTTTTGTTTCTCCAAGACTTTCAATGATTTTTCATGATCCGTCAAAAGTGTTTCAATTTTAATTGCCATCAAACGTTTGATTCAAGTTTATGTCATTTCAATAGATTTAGATTTTGTTCAATGTTTTCACCGAAATTCATGATTTTACTTTAATGGTGAAATCGCTAAAGGTTATGAAAGTTCTGATGAAAGACCAAGTTTTGAAATGCTTTCATTTGGCTATTTTGATCTTTCGCATTTAGCTTTTGTTGAACTGTTGGTAGACACTGTTATTGACTTGTTAATTGTTTAACCAGTGATCAGACTCAAGTTAATTCATTGGTTAATTGTGAGTTGATGTATTCAACTAGTTGAACCATTTTGAGTTGTTTGTACATTTGGTAACAGTTTGACAGTGAAGCGATAAATTATTGCAAATAATACTCAAGGTTTGCTACCTTTTTGTTGGTACGTTTTGTGTCTTGTTTTTGTTATTTTGTTGTTAAATCTTTCCTTTCAACTTTCAAATTATCATATTTAGACAAGAAGATGATTGCTTTAACAATCTTTGAATAATCATAATCATGATAATGATACAATCTTTGATTTCTGTTGAACATTTTCATATTTTTTCCAATCAATTATCAATCTCATTTTTCTTGAAACCTTTGTTAACATTCAAAGTACGTGTTTGGCTCATGTTTTACACTGAAAACTGAAAAAAATAAAAACATTGAAAGTTAACCAAAGTGAATATGAAAAATGATCAACCAAGCAAAGTTGAATTATTATCAACAATTATGATGATCGACATGTTGATCAGTAACATGTCTCACAGTTAATTGCTTCATCTAGTTAGACAATTAAGTTGCAACTCCAATGATTACTTTAATGATTCTCAAATATTGGGAAAAGTTCATTTGCAGAATTGAAAATTTCTCCAAATTTTCTTTACAAAAAACTCTTTATTGGAGTTTGTCACACGATAAAAGCCTAAACTGATTGATTCTCAAGTTCAGACAAAATCGATATCTTCAAGTTCGAAGACCTGAGAGTCTAAGATCGAATCGACTTGGAACATTGAATCTCTGAAAACTAAACCTTTATCAAACCTCCATTCAACTGTCTCATTTGGTTAAAGCAAATTTTAAACTCAACTTAACAAACCATTTTATTGATTTACTGATGATTCAAAATTATGGCAACAATTGAAAGGCAACTTGAGGTGAATCTTTTAATTACATTAACAGTAGTTAATCAGCATGAACAGTTTGAATGATAGTAATGAGTGATCAGATTAAAAGAAAAAAAATGAATTCATTTTTACTTGAAACCTTTTTTTTTGCGTTGAATTTCATACAAAAGCAAATAAGATTCACTTGTTACTTTACTCATTCACTTTCTTTGCACACCAAATTTAAGTGCATTTCAACTTGATTCAAATGGCAAGCAAAAATGGTGAATCTACCTGAAATATTATTAATATTATTATTAGATAATAATCGAGATTCCTGAATAAAAAGAAGAAGAAAAGGTAACCTTTCATTGACCTTTTGTTCATAACCTTGATCACGATTTGTTGCTTCAACAAAAATAAAAGGGGAAACTTTGGGGTTAAACATTTACTTATTTAGCCTTAAGGACACAATCAAACTTGATTATTTCAAACATTTTCAACATTCTGAGTTTGCCATAGAAACAATCAGAATCATTCATCCTTTCACTTTCATCTTCATCTTCACCTTGTTCATCTCAAAACCCGCATCACTTTCACTTAATTTCATTACTCTTATTACCATCCATTATCATCCATTATCATGATATCATCATGAAATATCATGAGTTATCATTTTACTTTTAATTTCATTTTAATTTTTCCCTTTTTTGCGTTGTTAATTATTTTCTTTTTTTCTCTTCTTCTCTTCTCTTCATCTTCATGTAAATCAACATTTGATTGGCCTAAATTTGCTAATGCTGATGACCTGACCCATCTAAATCTTGCTAAAAAATCTCTATTAGATTAGTCTTTTCAATCATAAACGATGATTTAAATTGTCTAAAGGTTAATGTATGTAACATTTGGGTAAATAATCATTTATTGTTATTAATGGGTCAAAATTTTTGGTACTTTTTTTACCAGATTTTCCTCTTTTTTTGGTTTCTCATATCAATTACATTTTTTCTGGTGAAGGTTTATGCATTAGTTTGGCAAACAATTGATTTATTAATAAATGGCTGTTTAATTTGGGTTTAGTTTCAATCTTTTTTCACTCCAAAATTGGGTTCTCATTCACATTAACCACTTTTTTGGTTAAATTTTGTTTTCGGTTTTTTTTGGTTTCATATGTTTCATTAACTTGATTAGTGTTGATATTGTTTTATGTCTTGAATTAATTTCTTGGTATTTTCTGGTTCTTTTGCTTTTGTAGAGGTGGAGTTGCCTTGTGTTTAAGTCCATTGGGTCGTCGTAATGGTGAGGCTTTGGTGCGTTTTGTCAACCAAGAGCATCGTGATATGGCTTTAAAGCGACACAAACACCACATTGGCCAGCGTTACATTGAAGTGTACCGTGCTTCAGGAGAGGATTTTGTCGAAGTCGCTGGTGGTAAGTTTTTGGCCTTTTATACTTTTCTCTACTTTCGTCTTTAGATATTTTTTTTGGTGTGTGTTGGAGTTGAAATTTTTGTCATTATAAAGTTAAAAGCATTTTTGGCTTATCATGTTTGGTATAGAGTGATGCTGTTGCTGTTAAGGTTAACGCTCAAGTGAACTGCTTAGTGAGACCTTTATGCCTCTTTCACCATTGCTTGAGGTTGGTGCTGATGTGATGTTGATCCAAGATGAACACCAAGAGACTGGTGATGATGGTTTCCCGTGTTAACTTGCACTTTCAACTCATGTAACATTTAATGTTATGCTCAGGGTTATCGGATAAAACCAGCATGTTTAACAAGCTCAACTGGCCAATGTGAAAATTATCATTCAATACCTTATTTCCTTGCAACTTTATCTTCACTCAATCTGTTTTAGCTTTCCTGTCTTTTCACTCTTCCTTTCATCCTCCTTCAACCTCCTTCATCTTTTCTGCATCTTTTTTTTCCTTCACCATTTTTGCCTTTTTTCACTCACAATGCTTTTCATTTTTGTCTGTTTTTTTCGTATTTCCTTTGTTTTCTTGATTCAATATTCAATTCTTTAATTAGTTGCTCTAGTTGATTAATACCAATGATTAACCTGTTATCTTGCATTTTACTTAAACCAACACTTGTTGCTTTAAAGTCATTGGCTCAAAGTGTTTAACCAACTAATTAAACTCATCCAAATTGAATCACTCAACAATTTATTGAAAGGTTAATGTAAATTTGAGTGGATTCATGTTGAACATTAAGTTTGTGTTCAGGCAACATGTTTACACACCTTTTTGTGTTACCTTTAAGATAATGTCCATTAACATAACATTATGCATTAGCAAGATATTTAATGGTAGCAACAGTTTGATTATTTGACTTGGAAAATTGTGAATTCTTTGCCTTTTGATTAACTGTTTAAACATGCTAATCATTTAAGACAATTGTTAGTTACCTAAATTACAACTGTCTTGATGTTAATCATTGAATACCCAGTCAAACACTACATACACGCCAAATAGATGAGCATATTAGGAAACCAGCAAATAAGGAGCAGTTTTTCGCGGAATCTTTGAAAATGAGCATATTACGATGCATTCGACTCGTAAAATTCAAACATACGGGCATTAGTGAGCAATAACAATTTACAGTTTCGAGCTCAGATGAGCGTTTTCACTCTAAATGGGGGTTTTAAACCGCGTAAAATGCATGAAAGGCATTCAAAATTAAAATTAAAATTATTGATTATTTATTCGAATTTGTATATAAATTTGATTGCTGGTTCTCATTATAGAGACAAAAAAATTAGAATTGTATTCAGTTAAATTAAATTATAGAAAAAACCAATAATAATTAGCAAAATAATCGGATGTAAATTGTTGTTGTTTATAATTTTCATGATGAACCTAGGAAGTTATTAATCAGATATCTGACTTGCGATTCTTTGCCGGATTGGACTGTGCTTGATTCTTTCGTGATTGAATTCCTATTCACATTCGATGACTCTTTATTGCTAGAATTAGGATTCTCATTGCTTCGATCAGTTTCATTCATTCCAATAGGAATTTTAACATTCTTGTCTTTACCATCCTTTTTCTTTAGTTTTTTACGTGCGAAATCATATAATGCTTTATCAACCTGAGCTTTACATTCTCTGTAAGATTGATAAGACATTTTGTCCAATTTTTTGACAGCATGTGAATGCTCTGATTGATTCGAAACCAATTTGAATAGCAAAGATAAAATGAAAAAGGAATTCGACATTAGTTTATAAAAAATTATTAATCAAAATTATGTTATAATGTCAAAAACTGTACTCACCAATAAGCATTTCGATTTTTTCACGTCCATTAGCCAACCTTTCATTACCCTCGAGCTTTGAATCCCCAATTCGGAAAAGAAAATTAGAATTATCTGCTTTATCATTCACTTGACAATCGTCTTTCATTTCATCAGGTATGCATCCACGAATTAATCGAGACATAACAAGCCTAGGTTCATCAGCCTTAATTGCCCATGTATAATCTGGAAACGGAAAAATCATTCCATTCAAATTGATTTCATCTTTATCTTTTACTTTGTGTACTTTGATTTTTCTTGTGAATTCAATTGAATTCTCCAACAAATTCTTTTCATTCATATGGTTGAATTTTGTATTCAAATGAAGACAAAATTGATAAATATTTTTTATGGTCGGTGTAATTGGATTCTCTATCGGAAGAGCAGGAATAGAATTCTCAAGAATATCCATTAATAAGACGATTCCAGCATTAGCCTTTTCCGCTTGTTGCTTTTTCTCTTCTCGGAATTTGGTCAAAAGTTTACAATCTGTGTATTGTCTTTTCCGTCGTTTCTTTTTGATTGAATCTTCCTGTTCAAATTCACAATCCGAGCCTGATGAGATGTCATAAAGCAGTCCACTGTCATGCTGGATGCTGACCGCATTATTCTGACTACTTGGATGTGTATCCGAGTGATTTTCACTCATGAATTCATCCGCTTCATCATTGGAATCAATATCCTGATCAATATTTGATGCTGAATCGCCATTCATTCCGGAATCTGGAATCTCCATTTGACATTCTTTCGAAAGATCAGGCCCGGTTTCGTCAGCATGAATGTCTTCTTGTATAAATTCTTCCATGCTGGGTAGAATTTGAATCAAAAATGCTTTTCTCTCATCGTCATCGCTGGTCTCGAATATTCGCACAACTTTGGTACAACAGAGTATCATCTGATCTTTTTTTATAATATGAGATCTGAATCCAGTAGAAATTTTAACACATAATTTTTCTGCTTCATTTTGAATAGCAGTCAGGTTTTCTGAAATGAAAGGTATGAAATTCATTTAAGAATAGGTAAACCAATTCTAAAATTGATACTTACTTGAAATTGAAATCACTTTACCAACATAATTAGAATTATCAATTCTGCATCGAATGAATTCTCTTGATTGGAATAAAGTATCAGAAACCCGGATTATGATAGGTTGAATGTATCTCAAATCAGATTTGGTTCCCAATAAAAAGAGAAAAGAATGTTCATCCGTGATTTGAATATCAGGAGTTGAATTCAATGAACTTGCTGATTTTTTTATCACTGTAGGCACAGAATTCGATGTACAAAAAGCCATTAAAGGTTGAGTCACATTTTTTTTAGGTGTTGAACTAAGAATCTTTTTCTTGCGTTTAACGCCACCTGCAGAATTAGTAACATTTGTTGAATTTGAACCGCTCATTTTGATTGATTCAGTTAATAACTCAACCTTAATACATCATTAGTTGTCTGGCTTTCCATTTATATGTAGATTTAATCCAATTTAATGATGATTCAATGCACATGAAAGCAAAAAGAGAACCAATCAAAGAAAAATGAGTGAAGAATTCGAATTCATTCCCCTTTGTAAATGCAATGAAATTTAATTATTTTCCTATTTGTATTCATTTCAATTTTTAATTGGTCAGTGAATAGTTATGTGTCTGCTTTTGCTTTCTAAAATTCGGTTTTCAAATTCATTAGGGATTAAAAAAAATTAATCACTTCATGTAACAACCTGGCAATTAATAAAACATGGATACAATTCCTTTAGAGTCAAATGAATACGAGTCTTGTTTTTCTCGTCTTGTTTCAATTGGTTATAATATGCATTCAATAGTTGAATTTTTCTGTTTTGATGTCTGAATTCATTGAGCAACAAATTCATTTCAAAGTTGAAGATGATGCAAATTTGATTGTAAAAATTGATTCGCTTTAATACTGTTCTTAATTCAAAAATACATTTTCCAAATATCTTGTGTTTCTTCGTACAATTGTCTGCATTTTGAACCTGAATTCTGATTCTTATGCCTTCATCGGATACTTGGCGAAGGTCAAATCACCTGCTTCTTCAAAGAGCTATCGAGCAGCTTAGGAATGACTTACAATCTGAATCTGAATCTGAATCTGAATCTGAATCTGAATCTGCAGGTGTATTCGATATTCCTGATATTGATGCCAATCAAGAAATAATCCATAATGCTGAAGATCCTGAAAGCAACATCCATGTTTTACCACAATTGCGATTAACTACTGCTGTTCTCAGTGAAATCTTAATATTTGATTTAATTCTTGAATTCAATTATTCAAAGTCACAAGCTAAAGCCGCTATAAGTGCAATCAACTGCTTGATGAGTGAAGTGAATTGTGAATTCAAATTGCAATCAATAGAACAACTATGGAGAAAAGCAACTCGAATTATTCCAATGGAGTATTTTTTCCTATGTGAAAATCTACATTCACACGGCCCTTATGTTGGTGAACCAAGATTATTTCGTGCCTTTCAATGTCAAAATCAGATTTGCCACCCAAAGTTGTCATCTGGTGGTTATTTGATAAAATTATCATTACGAAAACAGTTGGAATTGATTCTACCCGAAATATCAGACTATTTGAATCTAAATTCGAATGACAATTCAATGCATTCGATAAAGGATGGTGAATTAGCAAAAGCTGCCAGAGCCAGTTCTTGTTTAACAATTTCAATGTGCAGTGATGAAGTGCCAGTTTCGAAGTCAAGCAAATTGAATGCTATCCCTTTTTATATCCTGATTAATGAGCTCGATGAAAAATTCAGAAATGAGAATGTGCTTTTATTTTCTGTTTACGTGGGTAAATCTAAGCCATCTTGCCCGAATTCTATGCTTAAATCCATGATTTCTGAGCTTGCAGATTTAGAAATAAATCCGATATCATGGATTTCTTTATCAAATCAAGAATTCACGAAAACATTCAAGCTAGTATGTTTTATTGCTGATGCTCCGATGCGTGCATATTTACGCTCAGTAAAACAATTTAGTTCACGTTTCGGATGTGATTGGTGTAAAATTGAAGGAATTTATGATTTGAATGCAATGAAATTTCCTGTTATTCCACTTGAGGAGATCAGGATCCTTTCGAGATCAAAGAATGACTTCATTATGCATGCACAAGGGCACATTAACGATCATGCTACATTTGAATCAATTAAAAAGAAGTCTGAATTCTTGAAGTTAGACTCATTTGATATTGTATACGGATTTTCAGTTGATTTGATGCATTCGGTCTTTTTAGGCGTATTAAAAGACATCTTTAAAAGAGGTTGGTTTAATCCAATCAATCGCTCTAAACCTTACTCATTACTCAATCCTGGATCAATGGAAAGAATCAATAACAGAATAAAATGCATTCAGATCACTAGTGACCATGTTAGACCCATTCGATCACTTGAAGAATTCAGGGATTGGAAAGCGAATGAATTTGCTTCATTCTTACTTTATTTCTGTTATCCAGTGCTTATTGATATTATACCGAATGTATATATTGCTCATTTGACTCAACTTGCTGAAGCACTAACAATTCTATGCAGTGGAATTCATGATGTGAGTCGAATCGATCATGCTGAGAAACTATTACATGAATTCGCAATCAACTTGGAGAAACTTTATGGATTCGAATTTTTGACTTATAATGCTCACATAATTCTACATTTGGCAGAATGTGTTCGTAAGCATGGACCTCTGATACCCTCTTCAGCTTTTCTATCTGAAAACAAGATGGGCCAGATGAAGAAAAATTCAAGAAAATATACAGATTTACCGCAAACACTGGCTAATCTGCATCTCATAAAGCTTTATCGCAATTCGCTTTCAACAAGAATTCAAAATCCAACCGTTAATCAAACGAACGCAGGTAAGCCAAACAATAATGGCTTACCAACTGAATTACTTGAATTTTGCATTGCAGAAGGAATACAATTTACACCGGATTCATTCAAATGTTATCACTCAATTAGGATAAATGGCAAGTTATTCACCACTAGTGATTACGATAAAAATTTCAAAAGAACCAATTCAATTATTATGAATTCTAATTGTGCATTTAAAATTCAGAAAATTTATTTTGATAAAATTTCACAATCAGTAATTTTTCATGTTAAAAAGATATGTCATGATCTTTCCAACTTTCTCAGAGTACAACAGAGAATTATTCAAAAAAACATAAATATTGAAACAGAGCTGAATCATATAATTCACATTGATGATAATCAGCCACTCGAATTTCTAACATTTGTTGAAACAATTAGAAAAGTTTTTTCTTACATTTCTCCAAATGGTAATTTGCAACTCATTATCAAACCATTTATTAAACTGACATGAATAAATTAAACCCAAATAATTCTTAATTTGTATGATTCTCATGATTTATTCTTGAGTGAATTCAATTTCAATGATACATTTGAATGAGAATTAAAAATTTTGAATTTGCGGAATGAAAAAAAAGGAAATTACAATGAAAAAATAATTCGAATATTTTTCAATCATTGAGGTTGGAATCATCAAGATCGATTTGATATGCTTTCTCAGCTGCTAAATAAGCTTCACAATCAACGAGTCGATGCCGTGAGTAACAGAATGAGCATTCATGAACTCTATTGCATTCTCGAATGTTACATTGGCGGAGAACATGATAAAGATAACAAAAATCCTTCTTTGGAAGAAAACATGAGTTTCTTTTTTGGAAAGGAACGGCAGCTCTGTGACGGATTAATTCTGTTTCCCAATTCACCAAAATATTCTCATTATTCATGGAGTAAATATTACAGTAAACGAATTCACCCTGAATGAATAATCTTTCAATGCTGATTTTACTTTTCCCAGCCAAAACCAATCCTTTCATGATGCTAAAAGCACTATCTCCCTGGGTCTTGGTGTATGCGAATTTGGATACTGGCTGAACTCCCATTATTCTAGCATGAAAAACAGTTGCTGGTTTGGATGCCAATTCAGATGGGCATTCGAATAAATATTGTAATCTAACTGGAAGTTTACGGGCAAAATCAAGTGAAGCAACACAATATGTTCCTCCTTCTTCCGATGGTAAACGTTGGATTATACCTCTTTTATATGGGTGCCCATCAGGTCTTTTCAATGAAGCATCTCGAAAAACAGTCAGAAATCCAATACAGATTGAGGACGCATTCAGTGGTTTCCCCACAAAATTTGAATTCAAGAAATCAAAGATTTCTTTTCGAAGCGCTTGACACCCAGGAACAACTGGCCAAATCCAATTTGGATCACGAAAATAGACAATATCAGTAATTAAACGTGATGGATCAGTAAATGGTTTTAAAGGGGCATCAAGATATACCTGTGAATGTAAAATGCAGAAAAAAAGAATAGTTAATTTTCTCATTAATGTTGAATTCATATTCTTATTAATAAGACTCGATTTATATTACCTCCAGTTCTGTATCACCTGACGCTTCATTATCAACTGATTCTGGTTGGTCATCAATGGATTCTGAATCCGCTTGAGATGTTGATTCCTGGTCAGTTAAAATAAATGTTATTAATTCAGCATTCGAATTCAAATGTATAAATATATTTACCTGAGATGATGAATTATAGAGTGATACTGAGTTTTGAGAACAAACATTGACTGAGATCGAAGGAATGAGTGGAAATGTGATTATTGAGTAAGATACTGTGTTCTCTTCAACCAAATCATCAAGCTGATGAACAAGCGATTGGAATTCTTCAATACAGATTGCTGAATTCTTAATCAAATCGCGAATCAATCCTTCTTTTCGGAGGAATTCATGGACGAATATTAACTTATTCAGTTTGCTTTCATTTTGCTCAATTTGTTGATTCGAAGAATCCAATGCTTGATTAAGTATATCACCATTCGGAAACAAATACTTGTATGATGTCCCAGGTTCGAGCATTCTTTTTAACTCATGAAAATAGCATTTGAATTTAGCATCCTGAAGAGCATTAGAATGAAACGCAGCATTGGATTTCTTCAATAAATTTGAATAGGTTTTGATGATCCTATCGGATTTATCTTTACTTATTCTTATGTTGCTAGCCTGATTGAATGTAACGGATGAACATCTGTGGCACAGTTTCGATCCATCATCTTTTTCGAATTCAGCATGAATTTTGGTGCAAACAACACATTTAATTTCATCAGCTTCAAATAAACATTCTGGGGAGCATTGGAATTCTATTTTCTTGCTCGATGTTTCTTGTAAAAGACACACCTTGACATGGCAAGTATCACAGAATGCGATTCCAGATTTTGAACATTTCCATCTTGCTTTATCATCACAATAATCATGAAGAATGCAATCAGGAAGATTTACCACCTTGAGAATTTTAAATGTTGAATCCGGAAATGGTTGAGCTATATCTGGCCCATTTACGCAACACTGGCACAAAAACTTTAAATTCTTGATGTAAAATGTTGAATTCTCCGTGTCACAACAAAATTCACAAACCAAATTCTTGCTGACTTCCATCATGAATTCACTGGAATGAGAAATGGAATGTAAAATATGAATTCAATATGAATTATATAAATCAAATTCTAAAAAGCTTTGAGCTTTATTAGGCTTGAGACAAGAAGCTACAAAGCTTACCCGTAGTTATTAGCGTCATAATCGTATTCCAGTTCATCATTGATAAGCTGAATTTGAGATTCAGAAAGCTGCTATTGAAAAAAGAATAAGAATTCGAAATTAGTAAAATGGCATTTTACTCCAGTTGCACACTTACCGATTGCGGTTCTTTGTCCATGTTGTTAAATAAATCAAAAGGCTGAATTCTTAGATTTAGGAAGATTATAGTACTTCTTAAGAATGAAAATCAAGAATTTGTATCAAGATTTGAATTCAAGAATCCAATTAACATTTGAATATATCACAACAGAATAGATTTTAAATGAGCATTTAAGGTTGAATGTAACAAAGAGAATTATTCACCTTTGAAAGCAAAGTCAGCTCACCATGGGTACAGTAAACGCGCGTAATTTGATTGCTATTGCATTGGATTTGTTAATTCAAAAAATGAGCAAGTAGTGAGCAAAAAATTAAATTAATATCTTCATATTTATGCTCATTGAGGCACACAAAATGATTAAAATGACAGAATACATTTTGAATGCACGGTTTGAATTCTGTAACGAGCGTCAGAGGTTTCAAATGCCCATCAAATTAAGTGAAAATGCGCATGTTAAGGTGTAAAATTTGCTTTATTCAAGCTTTTTGGCATTCTAAATTTATGATGCATCAAAGTGTTCACCTACGGAATCCATCGCAAGCAAAAGTGTTTGACTGGGTAGTCAAAGACCAAATCAGAAAAGTAACTCTTTTTTTACCCAAAAATTGTTTGCTTTATGATCTTTAGGCTCAGTTTTGAGACGCAATTTGGTTTCAATATGAAAAGAGTTATTGTTATAATTTAAACTGCCAATGATAATTGTAATTGTCATCTTTGTTTATCCGCTTCAATAGATAATTGATTCAACTTACAATGGTTATGAAATTCATGAATAACAAGATGAACCTGATGAATATGGATGATTACAGATTTATCAATGTATCAGTTACTAGAGTATAACAAGAAACAAAACATTATCAGAATCCCTTTATGGTTACCTTTTGAAGGCCATTTTTGCATAATTATTTAACTCTTTTTATTACCCGTTTTATGTTTGTATCTTTACCTGGATTCACTTGTGTTTGGTGTGCGTTCACCTCGCGATTTTACCATCAATCTTGACGTAATTGTTGAACCTTTTGTGTGTGTTACTTGTTTACTGTTTATGCGTTGATGACCAGGGCTTTTCAAAAGGCATTAAAACATTTTTCTAATCAAAAGGCATAAATTTTATGCCTATGTCTATCTTTTCCCTTTCTTTTCTCTTTCTTTTTTCAATTTTATCAACCTTAATCTGTCCTAATTAAAAGATAGACGCCTTTTTTTTTGACCAATCTTGTTGATAATTTTTCCCATTGAAAATCAATGGACTTTTCTTAGGTTTATCTTTTATGCCTAAAAGCATATGCATAAGATAGACGAAAGGCATAAAATGTGAAAAGCCCTGTTGATGACACAGAAAACACTTGAAAAAAAAGAGACAAAACGATATTACAATTTGAGCAAAAATATTGCTTAAAAATAAGCAAATCAGTCGCATTGAAAACAATAAGGGCTTTGGTTAAAGCCATTGACATCAATACCAAGGTTTTTTTGTTTTCAACGTTAAACCTGCAACAAACAAGAAACATTGTATCATTGTTATAGATGCCATTATAATCAGTGATTATAATTGTATAATTAGTTAATTGATTGTGTGTAACAAGATCAACAAGCTTGGGAAGAGCTGAAGAGTAAGGTTAAAGTGAGAAAAAAAACGGCGACAATTTGAAGGGAAAAAAATAAATTTGTTTTACCAGAAAAGTTGAAATGTCCAGAAAGCTGAGAGAGAACCAGAAAAATGATAAGATAACCAAAGACCATAAGATAACCAGGGAATCTAAATGACTGTTAACCAGGAAAGCTAAGAGTTAACCCAAAAAAAGGAGAGATAAATTGATAGATCGAACCAGAAAAGCTTTTGTAAAATATGCTTTTTATCATTTTAATTTCAACTGATCATTGATTAACAGTTAATCAGTTTGAGTTTTATCTGTTGTCTAATTGCTATAAAAACATTGTAACAGTCAGGATTGACTTTTTGAGAAACAAAAAATGATAAAATCCAATTGATTTTTGGGTTCATTTTTTGCTCATTTTTTTTCGTATTTTTATCGTTCGCTTTGACGTCTTTTGACTGCTGTCTGAATTTGAAACATTATCAAAATTGCCAATCTTAATCTTGATCATTGCTATTCAAAAATGATTTAATAACATGATTATAACCTTGGAAAATTGAAAGATTTTAAATCCTTTTAATTGAGTTACAAGGCATAAGATTTATTACATTGGTTGCGTTGATTCTAGCCTTAAGATGAGACTTTTTTTTGCATCAAGTCCTTCAATGTTATTAACAAGATTTGAATAATCTTGTGAAGTATCTTTAACATTTGCTTAATCAGTTAATTGTATTTATTTGATCACCATTCGGCTTTTTTAACCTTTTTTCTGTTTCCTTTTTCACCTTTACTGCAATGGCTTGTTTCCGTTCTTGTTTCACAGGTAGAACCTCTTTTTTTGATTGAACACATTGGTAACATTAGATTAGCAGTTAATTGTTATGCTATCACATTGATAGACATTATTGGGTTGAAGAAACCTATTTAATCAGAGGTTCAAGACTTCATTTTCAACTGTAAAAGATGCTGACTGTTGATTGAAATTACAGCCAATATTATTTTAGACTATTTAGTCTGCCATTTGTTAGTTTTCCGTCGCTAATGCCAATTAATATTCCGATGTTAACTCTTTTTTTGTTGAACTTTTTGCTTGATTGTTTAGCTTTACCTGTTTTTGCATTAGAGATGCTTTTAAATTAACTATTGATCATAGTCAATGGCAAAAGTAATAAGACTAAAATTGGATAAAATATCAAGTCTTAGCCCAGATATCAATTCAATTCAATCTTTGGTTCAATTGTATTCCATGTCAATGATATCTGTTGTTAAACTTTGACCGTCTTCAAGTTGGTTGACAGAACGACTTGTTGATCATGGAAACTGGAACAATCGTATTTAGTTAATTTCCCAATCAGTTATTGAATTAAAACGATTGATTTGTCAGCAAATGTTTCCAGACTGAAATACACGTCCTTAGAGATTGAGTCAACAAAGTCAACACCAACAAGAAAAAGGTATATACTTGATAGCCAAAATTATACCAAACACTTATCACAACCATGATCATTGTAAAGCCAATAATTGCTAGCATTTACGGATAGTTGAAAATTATTGGAGTCAAAATATTGACGGATTATTTAACCAAAAAAAACAGTCTAAAAGAGAGGGACAAAAAAGAAGAGCTTTGTTGTATTAAAAAAAGGAGTAAAAAGACAAAATCGCTAGACCTTGGAAACCTAAAACATTATAAGACGAAGAGAAACCCAGAGAAACAGCAAACAAACCTAAATTATATCAGATTCATTGTTACGGGATGATGTTTGGATGTACAATAATGATGATAAAAGTTATTTATAAACAAAAGAAAAATAAAAGTAAAATTTATTTTCAAATTAATAAAAAAAACAGTTAAACAATGAGAAATGAAAAAAATATTAGAAAATCACATGCGAAGATTAGAAAATATTTTTACCGATAGATGGCTCTGTTGAAGGACCGCCTTGGTGCCGCCTTTCAAAGTTGTTTCCCTTCAAGTATTTTTGCCTCTCCTTTACTTTCCCCTATCTTCTTCTTAACCTTTCTTCTCTCTCTTTTCTTCTCACTTATTTTCTTCTTCTTTTGCTCTCTCTCTCTCTTCTTCTCTGTCGTTTGTCGTTATCTCGAATAGCGTATCATTATGAACTTTTATGTGACACCCTCTGAGCTCCGGTTCTCAGATGCTAGTCATGAGAGTAACATTGCTTTAACCAAGGTATCATTAAATCCGAGTAACCCTGTAAACTACCCTAGTCACCTTGTGCTTTATCCGAGGAATCATCATCATCCCCACCATCAAGATCAGCAACTTTACCAAGACCAGAAACAAGTTAAACAATCAACAAGTGAATTTACAAGTTACTGTTCAATTTGTTCATCTTCAACTGGAATAAACAGTTTATTTTATTCAATGTGTAAGGTTAAAAGTGGTTGCTCGCCTAAAGAGGCTACAAAAAATAATAATATCGTTAATAATAGCAATAATATTGCTAATAGCCACAATAATCCATCGCCAACGACGACAATCAACAACAATAATAATAATAACAACAACAGTAACATCAATGGTAATACCAACACCAACTGTAATAGTAACTCTAGTAATAACGTTAATAGCAATTTGAGTGTTTACAGCAATCATCCACAATCCCCAACAATAATTTCAACAACAAATCACAGTTATCACCATCAATTTAATAATTGGAAAAATTGTTCCAATCGTTTTGTTGGTTATTCCTATCCTGCAGCAGCAGCCGCAGCAGCTGCATCAGCGGCAGCGGCAGCAGCAAACTCTTATGGACGACCTTTACCTTGTCCATTTATCAGTTATTCACCCTCAGTGATTTACCTACCTGTATCTTATCCGGCTCATCCACCACCGGCACCAACTGTGACATTACAGTCTTCACCACCAATTCACCACCATCACCATCATCACCCTCAACCGCCGCCACTGCCTTTTCAACCTCCTTCATCCACTTCTTTATCACCAGCCTCTGATCCACCGCAACATACTCCATTTAATAACTCTTTGTCAACTGGCCTTGTAAATGTTGCTAATTCAAATTTACCAGCAATTACAACAGCGACTGTAGTCCCGTCAACTGGAACAATTAACTCTTGCTCGCCATTAACGAATCAAGTATCATCAGCATCACCATCACCTTCACCGACAATTACACCAAATAATAATAATAATATTAACAACAGTAATACTAATAACAGTAGTAATAATAATCCCTACAATCAAAGTACACTTTGTACTAATCCAATTTACTCTACTTTGATACCAAGTAATATTGTTACAATAAGCAACACAACCATCAATAATCACAGCCACAACAACAACACATTCACCAATAATACCAACACCATCAACACAATTATCAACAATAATAATTATATTAATGCAAATGTTACCAATTTCAACCACACCAACCATAATAATAATTTAATCAATACCAGTGATATTAAATTAATAACACCAAATGATCTGTCCCTATCATGTCCCATATTAGGAAAAAATAATGAAGCCTTCCAATTCCTATCCAAAGGAGCTCAAGTAATTGTCCGAATGCGAGGTCTTCCATACGATTGTACCGACCAGAAAGTGGTAAGTAATCACAATTACTGTAAATTACTGCAAAAACCAATTTACTAATTGTTTCATTTTCTCATTTCCCACAATCAAGATTGACTTCTTTGCTTCTGGTAAAAATGGATGTGAAGTTATGGATGGAACCGAAGGAGTTTTATTTGTCCGTCGAGGCGATGGTCGACCAACAGGCGATGCATTTGTACTCTTTGAATCAGAAGAGATGGCCATTAAAGCTTTGCATAAACACCGAGAAAGCATTGGTTCAAGGTACATTGAACTGTTTCGAAGCTCAACTGCCGAAGTTCAACAGGTAACAAACGACAAGAGCAATTAACTGTCAACCTTTCAACCTTACCTTGCCCATTTACCTCTAACCATTTTATCAAACGAGCAAAAAAAATATGATCTCAAGAATGTAGATTAGTGTCAGGTTGTGAGTAAAAAAGATAATATATATTTCTCATCTTCACCATCATCCAATAGATAGTGAGCAACTCCTCGGGTTTATGAAAAAAAAAGGTTGCCTGATCTGTCTTATTGATTTGTGGTTGTACCTTGAGAAACTTTGTTTATCGTATCTGCATTTTTGCACCAAAAAAGTAACTTGATTTTGCTTTTTAAAGTAAAAGTTATCTTCATCTCAACCGTATTAACATGATCAACAGGTAACTAACTCGCCATTGGAAACAGTATTACCTTAGGGCTTATACGCATCAATGTGACCTGAGTCTAGAAAAATGTATGCCCAGAAAGGAACCTCGAAAAAAAGCAGAAGAAGAAAGAGCAAAGAGATGATCAAAAATAAAACAAAGTTGGCCCTTTAAGATGCTTGTCTAAGGTCATCATTTTTACCTGAACGACAATTAAGAAGTAGCCAATAACAAGAATTGACCAGAGGTCAAAATTGCTTCAACTCTCCCTTTTTAGGTTGCAACCTCTCTGTCCAAATATTTGTTTTCATTTCTATCTTCATCTCTCTTGCCATCTTCACCTCATCATCTCATCTAATCTTAACATTGAACAACTTTACCTACTTAACCTTAACATTTATCCTTCCTCAATGTTATATAATCATATCTACATAATTTAATTTAAAGGGTGTCTATCCAGAAACGGCAAGAACCTAAATACTGAATGAGAGTTATTGGTCAGTGATAAGAGCGAACTAGATAAAAATAGTGGTAATAAACCCCGCCTCGACAACAAAACCTATCTTCTCATATTCTCATTAGCTACCCATAATTCCAAGCCGATGTGATTAATCACTGGTAGAATAATATACCTT